TTTCACTTATGTTCACAGATGCTCGAGATATGGTCAGTTAAAATTGACCTTAAAAATTCAGGCATGGCAAAATTGGGTGAAATCAAAGAATCGTAAAAGTGTGTTCGCGCGTGTATTGAGGTTCATCAACGTTGGTGGAATGGATGTGTATTGAACATCAAATGAAAAGAAAATATGATTGTCTCTGCAATGAGCAGCATCTTCTGAAGTACATTTTCAAACAAGTTAGAAAACAGATTACTTACAAATACCATGCTGAACTTACACTTAACATTGCATGTGCTCATTAGTATGATTTTGTTTTTGTTTAGAAACTATTGGTCTTCTTGTAGAGCACAAACCTTTTAGCACATGGCTGTGTAAGCTAGATTTTAGACTAATCATCTGTCAGTGAGAGCAGAGGCCATGACACTGCCTTTTTGGGGGGTGGACTGGGACGGAATAAACAAAATTGTTCGCATGTGTTATGTTGAAGGGGCTAGCACAATAAGAAAAACACATGCGAAATCCATGAACGGGTGTACTGAGACTTCCTTTGTTTATTGACCTACATTGCATAACACACAGGCGGGTAACACCGACTTGAAATACTAATACCGTACTTGGTGTGATAACCGTATCTAGGACACTACAGCATGCGAATCATCGGATGGCTTACTTTAGTTGACAACATCGTGCAAGTGTTGGAATGTCATGTTTTACCCTTATTTCCCTCATGGTGTCATTCAAGTAAACATCTCCATTCATGGTATATCACTTTGTCATTGAGCCAATAATATTCATGAGACTATTCTTGGAAAACTATAATATCATATCAACGTTGGAGTGGTCACCAGTAAATAGCCCGATATGAATCCTACAGGTATGTGAAATCCCATGAAACAGCAGCTGAAGAAAACTGACATTGCTCCCTATTCATGCCCTCTCGTTTGCAACCGTCTGTGACATCTAGAATGGAATGACTGATAATTGTCCAAAATTTAGCAGAGCAAAACCACACAAAACCAATGGCTCCAACGCAAAATAACAATGAGCACATTTAATGTTAAGTCCAAGTTTTTCTGGAATTTGTGATTGCTTTGTTTTCTGTTTTGCTTGAAATTGAAAATATCGACATTAAATATTGTTTATTGCAGAGAAACAATTCCATTCTTGGATATATGCAATGTATGTCCATTCTATCAATATTGATGGTCCGAAATACACGCGCGAAGACAACGTTTTTGTGATTTCACACAATTTTGCCGCCCAAGCCTGATTTTTTTAGGTCAATTTAGAGTTACCATATTATTATCTCGAGCATCTCTTAACATAGATGAAATATTATTGTGTCAGATGATGCAGAATGTATTTAGCTTTAAATTGGTATGCTGTATGAGTGGGTAGTGTAAGGCTTTAACCCGATGGATGGGTGATTACATTATCAAGTTTCTTTCGGAACCCACTGTATAATACACGTGCGGGTGTGTTGCACCCTGTTGTCGGTCAAAAGGATGTAAATAGGTTGCCGTGAAAAGGGTTAATTTGTAAAGCTTCTTCGTATAGTAAAACTGTCAGATTTATCAAACTCCTTATTCTGTTTACACAATCCAATTCATAGTGTCCAATTCCCTTTACATTGGGGGAGATTCCTTCTTCTTGCGCCAGATGACTTTTCACAACAATTTGCCTGCATTCTGTGAGTTGTTACTTAACAAACTTAAAAAAGAGGCCCACGAAGTTGTTAGTTGCACAATTCTAATGACACAAGCTCTCCCTACGCTCTCTCTTAATAATTTGTTATTATAGTCTCTGGACTTCATCGTCCACAGACATTCGAGGGATCTGTAGGCCTCTACATCTCAATAAAGAGAATAACAGTGTCTTTCGATCAAGCCACCATACTGTACAGTAGTAGATAGTAGAAATCTAGTGTGCACTGTGTAATCCTAGCAGCTTTGACGTCTGATGCACTTACAACGCACTGGGTGACCTTGATACATAACTTTAGATTGAAAATTTGAAAAACAAAGTTCGCTCAAGTTTTACTATATT